TGGAGGCCAGCCTGGTCTACAAAACTATACAGAGGAAACCCTGTCTCTAAAAATAAAAATAAAAAAATAAAATAAAGTCTCATAGGTTGCCTCTCTGGTGGAGCATTTTCTCAACTGAGTTTCTCTCTTTCCGAATGACTCTAACTTGTGTCAAGCTGACCTAAAACTAGCCAGAACACTTTGGCTGGTTCTCCCAGGATGGAGACTCTATCCTCAGGGGCTTGAGAGAGCTACTTCACGCCTTGACTGCTGATACCCAGCAAGACATCACTTACTGCTAATAAGCTGGGAAGGTCTGGCTTCATCACCAGCTTGGCCATAAAGTCCTGTGACATTTGGTGCATGCCTTGGGCCTCAGTTGGACTCATCTGTACACCCATCAATCTACGGCACCCCCATCACACAGGTCACCGAAAGTATGCACCTGACTCAGCCGTGTCTTGGTCAAGCCAGAGTGGTCTTAAGTGCAGAGATCTGTAAGGAGAGCTGTCCTTGCCACAGAACAGCCCCTGGAAGAGGAAGAAGCTGGAGAATGGAAGGCCCTGTGTCCCATAGGGACACGCGGTGGCTGCTTGTTGCCCTCTAGGGTGTATTTCGTCTTCACTCTGGGCTGTATGTTGGTAGTGATAGGCTCGTCCAGGTATCAGCGTGTCACTGTGTACAGACAGCCTCTGAGGTCCTAATGAGCTTGGGCTGGCCTTTGGGGGCTGGGGAAGGTGTCCAAGCCTTGTGAGACGAGAGAGGACATCGGTGGATCCCTGTCATCTGGCTCCACTGAGGGCTACCCACAGTCCCTAAGCAGCTCCACACAGGAGGCCCCTAGAGAAGGAGACAAAAGCTGTCTATCTCATAACTCTACCTTACATAGACGTGGAGTGACGTGGACCTTATACTCTCGGTGCTGGGGTTTCAGAGCGGCACATGGAGGGTAAGTTGGGAGAAGGTACCTCCTTGGGCGCCCAGGAAAGAGATGTGACTGAGGGTATGCGGGATAGTATCTGGGATCAAGGTCTGGTAGTCAAACAGTGCTCAGGTTGACTGCGACAGTCTTAACTAAGCCTGCTTCTCTAAACAGTCTACAAGGAACGTAAGCGTGGGGAAATATAAAAATTGGGGCCAAGGGGCTGGAGAGATTGCTCAACCAGAGAAGTACTCGCTGTACAGGCATAAAAGGATCAGAGTTTGATCTCCCCAAAAGCCATCTAAAAAGATATGCACATTTGTAATTTCAGCACTGGGGAGGTAGAGACAGCTGGATTCTTGGGGTTCACTGGCCAGTCAGCTGAGCCTAACTGGAAAACTCAGTCCCACTGTCTCAGAAAATAAGGTGGACATCTGCTGAGCTCTTGATCTCTGACCTTGATAAGTACATACACTCACTTGGAACCCAAACACACACACACACACACACACACACACACACACACACACACACACTAGTTGAGCCAAATACATTTCAGGTCATTTTAAAAAAAATATAACATACAAGCTGGGCGGTGGTGGTACATGCCTTTAATCCCAGCATTTGGGAGGCAGAGGCAGGCGGATCTCTGTGAGTTCCAGGCCAGGCTGGACCGACAGCCTCCAAAACAATACAGAGAAACCCTGTCTCATAAAATATATATATATATATATATATATATATATATATATATATATATATATATATATCATACAATTCTTCCAGGTGAGCAAACACAAGATAGTCCTTCCCCGGGCAGTGCTTTCTCAACTCCTTGCTCACTGTGTTCTGGTTTCTTCTAGAAAGTGCTGTGAAGCCTAGAGAAGTTGCTCTTGTCCTTGTATTCTTGGACCTTAGGCGCCTGAGCTATGGTGCAGGGTCTGGATGGCCCACCTGCTTGATTTTCCAGCGCAAAGAGTATTCGTACTGCTCATGCAGTGCCATGTGAAGGACTCTGAGCCATTCAGGGTAGGGGTGCAGCTCAGGAAGCACGCCTTGGGTTCTATCCTCAGGAGCAAGGGGGGAAAAATCAGCAAAAAAAAAAAAAAAAAAACCCAAACCAGAAAGTCAAAGTGTCACGGGTCACAGCCTGAAACTGAAGGGTGTGATAAACATCACCCGTGATCTGTGTACTTCAAATGCCTTTGCAGACCTGAACCCAACCTGGCTGAGGTGTCCAGAAGCTGAAGGGACCTCCAGCATCTGGGTCAAGGGCCTTCCCATGCGCAGGTTTCCTGTAAATGCTGTTGGATCCGGGTCAGGGCTGACTCTGTGGGAGCTGAGAAACCACAGCCTCCCTGGGGAGTCCCCTGGGGCTCCCACTCACCCCATACACCAGGAAAACTTGGTTTCTGCTTGACTTGTTGTCTCCACAGGAGGGGCCCCAAGTTTTCCCCTTCTGCCGCCCCTGCTCCCTAGGACTAGGTCCCTGTCCCTGAGGTCCCTGTGGTCCTGCGGTTCCTTCTGAAGTTCTGGACGCAGCTGGGGCACAGTGTACAGGACTGCCCTCTGAAAATCACCCTACTTTTTGTGCTTCAGGATAACCTAGAAGGGCATCATGGGGCAGGGCTGGGAGGCTTCACATTAAATCTGGGCCTTGGGGCTGCAGCAGCTAGCCGCCTAGGAGAAAGAGTCAAACAAAGGCATGGTACCTGGACTGAGCAAGAGCCAGGCCATAAGAGGCTTTGCAATAGTATGTTAGAAGGACCACTGTGAACAGACAGAAGTGGCCAGGTGGAAACGTTAGCCAGAAGGGTGACCCAGAGGCGAGAGCTGAAATAGGGCAAGTTCTCAACCCCAGTGCCCTCTCTCCCAGCGTCTGCTGGCTTTTTTGGGTTTGGTTGCCCCACCCTTGGCTTTGGCCTGCTGACCACGGGCGCGCACAAGGGGGTGCTGGCCAAGATCCCCAACTGGAGGCACGAGGAGGTAACCATAAAGGAGCTGCAACGGCTGAGCCTCCCCCTCCCCCGCACACCCTTGCCCCCACACCCCATGTGCGGGCCTGAACAACCACTCTGCTGCCTGACGGATCCTGCGATGTTTCCCAGGCAACTGTCTCATACAGCCTGTCTGCCTGGCACTCCCACACCCCGTATATGCCGCCGTGCCTGGCTCCAGGCAGCCTTGCCTGCTTGGCATACACAGGCCAGCAGGTGTGGAGAACGCAGCCCGCTGCCTGGCTGTGTCACAAGGCCACTTAGGCAGAGAAGGCAGCCCAGTCCTCCTGGACACCGTCATACAGCCCCTGAGTATTGCTGGGGTACCCCACGTAGATGTCCCGCTGTTCTGCCACACAGAACAGCACCAGGCGCATGCGGCAAGGCGTGCCTGCCTGCTACAGGTCCCACTTGAAAACTGGAGAGCCGTGCTCCTTTCTGGGCTTGGCCATAGACGGCGGATGCAGTCATGGCCCCGTTTGTACGGTAAATTAATGGTAAACCCAGTTTCCAAGAAGGCAAGGAGAGCACAGGGAGCCAGGCAGGACCTGGACTGCCCCAACAGCTGAAGACCAGGGCCCGATGGGCAAATTCACCTAGTCCCGCAGCCAATGAGGCCCTGTTGGTAGCAGAGACCGATCCTGAGAGCAGCCTTGCTGTCAAGGACACCCTGAGAAAAGAGCCTGCCAAGACACCAACCTGGCTGGCAGACCTTCTTCATTTCTGAGACAGGTCTAATGGTGGACAAAGCCCAAGAGAAGGGGTCCCTCTGTGGATGCAGGAGGCCTCATTGCCTCCCACACTGGAACACTTTCTGCTCCCCCCCTTGCATCTCCTCCAAAGGACTGAAATACCCTTTTGTGGATGTGCATTGGGCCTCAAATCAAAGTTGTTTCCCCAGTGCAAGCGTCAGCCCCAGCCAGAAATTATTTTCCAATAAGGTTAATAATTCCTTCATCACCATAGCACAGGGTTCCAGGAGTATGGATCTTTTCACCAAGTACAACTTTTACTTTTCGATCCATTAAAAAAACAACAGCCGGGCGCTGGTGGCACACGCCTTTAATCCCAGCGCTCGGGAGGCAGAGGCAGGCGGATCTCTGTGAGTGCCAGGCCAGCCTGGTCTGCAGAGCGAGTTCCAGGACAGCCTCCAAAACAATACAGAGCAACCCTGCCTCTAAAAAACAAAAAAACAAAAACCAAAAAACAAAAAAACCAAACAACAACAACAACCCTTCCCTCTGTGGTGCCAGGGTGGACACACACCATAGTACAGGTGTGGAAGTCAAGAGGGCAAGCTCTGCTGTTGGTCCTCACCTTCCACCTCACTCGAGACAGTCTCTTGTCTGGCACTGTGCGCACGAGGCTAGCTGGTCCGAAAGCCTCAGGGGATTCTTCTGCCCCTGCCTCCCATCTCACAGCAGCACTGGGATTGCATATGCTTGTGCTGTCATATGCCTGGCTTCGCCTGGGTCTTGAGGACTGAACTTGGGTCCCGATCCTTGCACTGCGCCACCTCCCCCAGGCCAAATTCAACCGTTGGTTTGTTTTGCGTTGTGACACAGGGTCTTTGGACACAGCTCTGGCTGTCCTAGAACTCACTATGTAGACCAGGCCAGCCTTGAACTCACAAGAGTTCAAGGCCGGCCTCTGCCTCTGCCTCCCCAGTGATGGGATTAAAGGCGAGGGCCACTTACCGCCCAAACGCAACTTTTAAAGCCTGGTGTGTTAATATTTGCAGACAGCTGGGATAATAATGCAGGCTTGTTGGGGTTGGCCCATCACCCCCCCCCCCCCGTTTCTCTCTCCCCGGGTTCTAAAAGTGGTTGGGTTGGGTCTAGAGGGATGACTCAGCGGTTAAGAGCACTGGGGGCTCTTGCAAAGAACCGGGGTTCATTTCCCAGCACCCACATGGTGGCTCAGAGCTAACCTAAGTTCTAGAGTATTCAAGACCTCCTTCCACCCTCTGTGGGCACCAGACTCACTTGGCACAAATACTACGTGAAGGAAAAACAATGATACACATGAAAAAAAGAAAATAACTAAAAGAAAATTTTAGAAATGGCTGCTGGATCCTGTACTCCCCAGGTGAACTCAAGCTATAGAGAGACTGTGTGTGGCAACAGAACTTTGCACGCTTGGCATAGAGCAGTGGGATCTCCCTCAACTCCATTCTCTGTGGAAGATTCCAGGCTGTAGACCACAAAACCCTCTGGCCTGGCCCCCTCCCTGGTTGGCAACGAGGGAACAGAGTCAGTTCTGGGAATGGAGCAAAGTCCCAGAAGAACAGCATTGGCACTTGCTTGAGAGTCCTAAGCCTGAAGGATCTGTGTTCTGCAGCTGGTGCAGACTGTCCTGGGGTCAGGGCCTCTTTCTTCTGACAGCCAAAAGTCCACTGGGGTGGCCAAGGCCAAAAGATAATGGTGTATCCTCACTTTCTGGGCCTTAAGAGCATGTATGTGCCTCCTTAGCCTCCCGGAACTTGAAGAGAGAACTCCTTCAGGAGCCCACAGCTTTGGGGTAAGTCTGCCGGGGTAGCCACACAGGCTCTGGCTCATTCTGATCCTCTGGGGCCAACTGGCTATAGCACGTGTGTAGGTGGTCAGGGTATCTGAGCTCTATAGAGGAGGGGTACCGGAGAGGCTGGTGCGCTGCAGATCTCAGGAGGGACCCTGTGCTCTGGTTTTAGGGTGTGGCTGAGCTGGGCCTTCTTCCCCACACAGGGCTCTTTCAGCTTTTGGCCGGACACCCTCCTCAGGCCTTTCCTCCCGCTAGGAAGTCACTGCCAGACCTCCTAGAGTCCTCAAGGTCCCCTGCAAAAGTACAGTGATACTTTCATCAAAAGCCCAGGAGCCAGGCCAGTGGGGACAGGCGGATGGGGAGTGTCCCATCAGCAGTCTCTTCTTAGACCTGGGACTCATCACAACTGCCTTCCCACTTGGGTGGCCCAGGCCCAGGTCATGAGACTTACCCCACCTTGGCAGCTCCTGCATGGGCAGCTCCTTGGTGGCACCTTTGGCTACCACTCTGGGTTCTTCCGCCTAGTCGAGGCAGGTTCCCAAGATGGCCACTCTCCAAAAGACCTCAATGCAGAACAGACCCTGGTGTGTGCTCTAGGATACTCTGGAGATTAAACTTTCCATCCTCTTCAAGTCTGCAGAGATAAAACACGACCTCGGTCCAGAATCCATTCCCCAGACCCTGACCTGGACACAGATGCCAGGCTGGACCACACACGGTGGGGGTGACCTCGTCTAGGGATGGGAGACAAGGTTGGGACAGGAGGAGGACCTAGGAAGAGGGGTCAGGGAGTCAGATGGTGGCAGGACGGGCTTTTGGAACAGCCCTGACCCCTGGGGGCTGTGGAGAAACAGACCACTAGTGAACACCACTACATATACTAAAGTGCCTTGGGCGTCTGCTGCCACCAAGTGACGGGCTGCAGGATTGCAGGGCGGGTTTGTTGGCGAGATAGGAAGCCCGCCCGGGTTTCTGTGCTTCGTACCCTGCTGGTCTGCGCGGCTTCGTTGCCTCTCTCTCTTTGGTGGAGAAACCCAGCCCACCCTATAAGGAATAAAATGGTGGTAAAGTTGGATCTGGAAGTCCTGTCCGTGGAGCCATCCTAGGAAAGGCTGCAGAACTGGGAACCGAGGCAGGCCATTGTCTAGCACCGCTGGGAGGTGGCATTGGTAGGCCAGGCCTGACAGCTGGCTATCTGCACGTGTTAAGAGAGACGGGAACACAGGCTCCAGAGCTGCCTGCACAGGCTCGGGTGGGACCAGTCTCGCACCCCAGCAAGCTGGAGGGCAGCTCCACCCTGCCCCGCCTCTCCCTCAAGGCTTCAGCTCAGTGTCCCCCCCCCCAAAGGTTAGGATTCCCGGCGCCTTAGTTTTCAAGTGTCACAAAGGGGAGATGGGGCACTTGGCACAGTGGGTAGTGGGGGGGGGGTCTGGAGGGCGCGGGAGCAGGTTCGGATCGGAGGGCGGGTCGGGTTATACGTCTCACTTCCGCCGGACGCTCTTGGGAGAAGGATGGAGGAGGAGCAGAGGCTGCGGGGGAGGCTGAGCCGCCGCAGGCCGCCCGCAGGGGGCGGGTGAGGCGGGATGGAACGGAGAGGGAGAGGGTGGGGGCGCAGGGGGGTTTGGGTAGGCGGCGGGGAGACCTTGGGGGGTACCGCGACTGTCCGGTGTACGTACACGGGGTTCCTCGCACACTTGCACCCCGCAACTCTTGAGGCCTGCCACCAGCCACGCTCCGCCTTTCTCCGGGCGCGGTCGCTTCTTCCGCCCCAACCCTGCGGTTTCCCCCACCTCCGCCACCCCTCTTCCCCTAGCCTATCTGGCCCCAGGCTCCATTTCCCCCGAGAGTCCACTCACCCTCCCACGTGAACCGCACCCCTGTCCCCCCCACTCCGGACTCTCTCCCTCCAGTACTCCACTGTCGTCGACTCCTGCCCCCGCCCAGAACCTTGCTACCCCTTCTCCCCCAAGTCTTGCTACCCCTCACCGTGGAACCCCTTTCTCGGGGCACTCTGCCACGGATCCCCTGGCTGACACCTCTTGTGCTCCCCAGGGCCCCCAACTGCCGCCCCTGGTTTCTCATGGAGGGCAGTAAGAGCGAGCCGTGGGCTGCTCTGCTGCGTAGCGCTGTGAGCGGGACCGTGGATTTGACCCCCAACAGTCAGCCATTGCCACCACTGCCTGCTTTTCGCAGCCAGGTGTGTCCAGAAGCACTAACGGGAGTTGGCCGGGCGAGAGGGTTCTCAGGCCCTGGGGGAGGTCATGGTGTTGATGGCTATGACCTCATTGGGCATCTGTTTTTCAGGAGTCACTGCCTGACCCTGAGCCCACTGTGGCTCCTGAGGTCTTCACTGTGGGATCCAAGACCTTTTCCTGGACGCCTTTTCCACCTGCCCTTGATTTCTCTGAAAACTCCTACCTGTTGTTCCAAGGGACTGGAGGCTCCCTGGGGTCACCTACTCCATCACCTACTCCAGGACGTCCTGCACCAGATTCCAGTCAGACTCCCAGAACCCAAGAGTGTGTGTCTGTGCAGAGTCCACCTGCGTTACTGAGCTGCCCATTGTGCCAGAAGGCATTTGATCCCACGTGAGTGTGCCACCCCGGACCTCAGACTTAAGACTTAGCCCGTTGCAAAACCTCCTGCTTGGGAGGCTGAGAGAGTGCCTGTATGTGGCTCGGCCTTTTTTTTTTTTAAACTATTTTGTTAAATAGTTTGTTTCGAGAAAGGGTTTCTCTGTGTAGCTCCTGGCTGTCCTGGAATTTTCTCTGTAGACCAGGCTGGCCTCAAACTCACTGAGGTCTGCTCGCCTCTGCCTCCCGAGTGTTTGGATTAACAGTGTGGGCCGCCACCACCGGATTTATTTAACTAATGCTTAAACTAGACATATTTATGTATGTGCAATGGCATGCTTGTATGTGGAGGTCAGAGGAAAGCTTGTTGAAATCTGTGTTCACCTTTTAACCGTGTGAGACCTAGGGGTTGAATTTAGGTGCTCAGAATTGGCAACAGGTGCCTTTACTTGCTGAGCTATCTTGCTTTTTTTTTTTTTTTTTTTTTTTTTTTTTGATTCTCAGCGTTACTCTTGTTTCAACCTCCCAAGGGCTTGGGTTTCAGGAATGTACCACCACATTTGCTTAGCTCTGGCTACTTAAAGTTGTACAGAAACTTGTAGAACTTGAGCCCACTGTTACTTAAAGTTGTACAGAAACTTGTAGGACTTGAGCCCACTGTTGCTAGGCTCAAGGGCAGTATGTTTTAGATGATATGGAGAGAGGCCCTGTCTCAAAACAAACAAACACCCACAAAACAAAAATGTGCTTATTATTGTTTGTGTGGTATAGGTGTATGTTCACGTAGGTTTGTGTACGGAGGCACCCATGTGTGTACAAGCTCAGTCAAACGTTTTTCTTGATCAGTTCCCACATTATTGTTTGAGAGAGTCTCTCACTGAACCTAACACTCACTGGTTTGTCTAAGCTGGCTGGCCAATGAGCTCCAGGGATCCACCCATCTCTCCTGCCACCCCAGGACCTGGATTGCACATGCATACTGCCCTGCCCGAGCGTACCTTTTACGTGGGTAATGTTTGCACAGCAGGTACTTTATCAATGGGACCATTTCCCCAGCCTCCAAAATGTGGCTTCTTTTTTTTTTTTTTATGAGAATCAAACCTTTATGAATTTGGGAGGAGCCCCAATCCCAGCAGTAACTATCTCTACTCCTACCCACATAGCTCAGACAAAGGGATGTTGAGTGTGGGGCTGGCTTGAGTCAGGTTGTGGTTGTTCCCCAAGTGGTTTGTAAAGTTGACATCTCCATCTTCTTATGTATGAAGAGACCCAGGGGCAGAAGGTGGGGTTGGGAACCCTTTTGGGAAATTCATTCTCCCAGAGCCCATAAAATCTTGTCAGGGTTCCCACTCCCTTCTTGCTCCAGGAGGGTTTTTGTTTTTGTTTTCTGTGGAGTCCTTGCATGTCTACACTGTCCAAGAAAAGACTCCTGAACACTGAAGCAAGAAACTCTACCCGTTGGGTACCTTTCAAGTGGCTTGGCAAAGTGCCTTGATTTCTCCAAAGTAGGTATCAGCAAGGTAGGCTCAAGTCTGCAGTAACTATAGCATGTTCTTACATTGACCTGTAGAGCAGCTAGGATGCGTTTGGCCAGACTCAGCCGTTGGGGTGGCAGCCACATTATCAGGCTGGCTGGGGGTGGGGGAAGCTTATGTCCCATGCCCTTGAAGGAACTCCCAGGATGTTCTGGGGCTTAGGTGGCAGGGGTATTGTCACAATGGGCAAGACTGGCCTTGGGCAGGTCAGTTTGGTAGCTAGACCCAGACGGAGCTGTCATATTGTCCTCTGAGGGCAGTCTGTACAGACATTGCTGCCCACCTAAGCTGGCACAGATGAGCCTGGGGACACTCCTCAGGGAGGACCACACCAGTTTTTCTTTCCTTTAGCACTGTCTGAGCCATGTGGCACACTATTTTATTCCTAAATGTGACAGGTATTAGGTATTAGGCTGACCATGCAGTGTTCTTTGTTCTGAGAAGATCTTGCTTCTATCTGTATTCAGATACTTCATACAGATGTCTGTCACTATTGGGGACTGGGTCCAGTACTCACAGCGTACCGGTCTGTAGATGCTCAAGTCTTTTTTTTTTTTTTTTTTACATAAACACAGTTGTTACTTCATAGACCCTACATCTCTAGGTGGCTTTATGTATTGCTTAGGGAATAATGACAAGGGCAAGTCTGTTTATATTTAATACAGTCACCGTTTTTAAAAGTACTTTTTAATCTGTGGTTGTTTGAATCTGCAGATGCAGGACCCACAGATAGGGAAACCACTGTATTTTCTGATATCTGTGTGTCAGATAGGCAGCTGGTGAGACAGTCCACTAGCTGGGGATGCCAAAACCCTAGTCTTTACAGTGAGACCTGGTGGTGGTCTCTGTCTCTGTCTCTCTCTCTCTCTCAGGTGTGTGTCCTCCTGCCCTTTTATTTCAATATGTAACTTAGGCCTTAAACCTCTGAACTGTCTTTTTGCTCAGCCTTCAGAGTAGCTGGAATGACAGGTGTGTGCCATGCCTAACTCATGGTCATGATTCTAATGGGTTGTTCATATTCAGATTCTGGGGCTGAAGTCCCTGAATCCATGTTGGTTAGCCATAGCCAGGGCTCAGCTGTGTCTGGGAATTAGCAGAAGCCCAGCTGTGAAACGAGTTCTGCAGAAACAGCTCTCTGGTTGTGGAGTAGTATCTGGAGGAATCCCTGAGAACCCACTTGAGGGAAACTCCCAACAGGTGGCTGAGATCTGCACAGAACCTTGAGGTGCCTTGCAGAAAGCTGGAGGGAGGGGTGTGTTAATACCGTGGTTAGATGGGCTGAGGGCTCTCAGGGGCTTTAGAGACCATTTGTTGGGGACTGCCAAGTTCGAGAGCCATCGAAAGTCACGGGACCTGGGAACCAGGTAAGGGAGGGGCCTTGCTGTCCATCCTCTGCTGTAAATCTTAGGGGAGGTCTGTTTCCATTCTGGGTGTGGGTCAACTAGGATGCAGTGAGCAGGCCAAGGCCTGGGATGCCTGTGAGGGAAGGTAATGGGTATCTGATTGGCCGGCAGGATATCCAGAAGGTCCTCAGGACTGGTGGGGTTCCACCTCAGGACTTCTGCGGGCCCACTCACCAGTTTCAGCTCATACAAGGTGAGCTGGCTCCTGGGAGAGACAGAGGGCATTGCAATGAGTCAGAGCATTTCTGTGTTTGTTCTTCAGTGGGGGATAGTGGCCCTGCTCTAAGAGACTGAGATGGGACTGTCTGACACTGGGGAAGGGGACTCGACGTGGGGTCGCATGCATAGGGTTCAGGAGCTATAGGAAGGAGACTCGCCATGGGGTCATGTGCATAGGGTTCAGGAGCTATAGGGAGGGGCAAAAGGCGGGGTCTGAGGGAGAAGTGGTGCTTGGTGGATCGATGTGATGATGTCTGAGGATGGAAGGCTATAAGGTGCCAGGAAGGAAGCAGGGCCCTTTGAGCAGCGGGGACAAATGTTGGCCAGTCTGGGGGCGTATATCCTGGTGGTGATATGTAAGAGATGGGCACTCCAGTAGGTTGGTGGCCACATGGCCTCCATCAACTCCCGGGCTGTGAGCACTGTCTTGGAAGCTCTCCTGACCAACTGGTCTGTCTAGGTCACCTCCTCCCTCTGATGGCCAGATGAAGTTAGGTGGAAGGCCAGGCAATACACTACCCTTGTTCTCGGTTGTGATGCCCTTCCCAGGGCCACTGGTGCAGGACTCCTGAGGTACATGTGTTGTGTGGGCCTTCCAGACATGTAGGGCCAGAGGGGCTTGGTCCTTCCACCTCAAGAAAACATCCCCTAGCAGGGCATGGTGGCGCATGCCTTTAATCCCAGCACTTGGGAGGCAGAGGCAGGTGGATCTCTGTGAGTTCAAGGCCAGCCTGGTCAACATAGTGAGTTTTAAGACAGCCAGGGCTATATAGGAGACCCTCTGACAAACAAACAAACAACCCCCCAATTTCCCCGAATGAAAACATTCCTAGGAATTGCAGTACCTCTTGGAAGATGGTAGCTATCTGTACGGACTCTTACCTTCATGTGTATTTCTTCTGGGCAGCTCAGTGGACTGGGCTTTTATGAGAACCGTCCTTTGTGTTGGCTGATGGACATACCTGATAGGCTTGTCCAACCTATAAGCCTGAGCTGCTGTAGACAGGCATGGGACTTGAGGAGGGCCTGCACTGGACGTCTAGGCCAGTGTGGAGTCTCTAGCTTCCCTCTGATCTCTGCCTGAGATGGGCTTTTTGTTTGTTTGTTTGTTTTTTGAAATGTGGTCTCACTACGTAGCCCTGTCCATCCTGGAACTCACTGTGTAGACCAAGTGGTCTTTGAACTCAGAGATTCACCTGCTTCTGCCTCCTGAGTGGTGGGATTAAAGAAAGGCATGTGCTATTATCATGTCTAGCTTTTTTATAAACTTTCTTTTTTTCTGTCTGTCTTTCTTTCTTTCGGCTTTGGGTTTCTCTGTGGCTTTAAAGGCTGCCCTGGAACCGGCTCTTGTAGACCAGACTGGTCTCAAACTCACAGAGATCTGCCTGCCTCTGCCTCCTGAGTGCTGGGATTGAAGGCATGCGTCACCAATGCCTGGCTCTTTTTTGTAAACTTAAGTTAGATGTGTGTGGGTGTGTGTGTACATACAGATATGCACATATCACAATGAGTCAAGTCAGAGGGAAACTAACTTTCAGGAGTGGATTCTTTTATCATGTGGATCCTAGAGATTGAACTCAGGTCATCAGGTTTGGCAGCAGTGATTAAGTCACTGAGCCATCTTGCTGGCCCCAGAGGGTCTTTGGGGCTAGCTTTTGGCATGGGCCAGTATGAGTGAGCCAACAGTTGAGGTGGGAGCTTCTCAGACACTAATCAGGGTAGGAGTCTGTAGGACTAAGACTCTGGTTTAAGGAAGGGTTCTCGGGTAACAGGGAAGCTCGACTTACTAAGGTCCTGGCGAACCTTACTTACCATTTCCTCCAACTGACCAGCCATGGAAGAGTCTGGGACTCTTCTCAGTGGTTTAGAAACATGCGGAGTTACCCTTCCTGTGGCCAGCACTCTCCGCAGAGGCCTTCTGACTGTCTCCTCTCCCTCGCAGGCTGACCCAGCTGGATGTGGATAGCCACCTTGCTCAGTGTTTGGCTGAAAGCACGGAAGATGTCGTGTGGTAAGCTCCTTCCAGCGTACATGCTGGATGCGACCGCTGAGACCTGGCTTCGAGTGGTCCAGGATACGTGCTGACTTAGGAATGTGACTGCAGAGACGCGTCTTCTCGTGGACACCTGAGCACAGCCTCCTCCTGGTTTTGTTTATGGGCACTGGGCATCCTGCTGATCACTGGGGTGCAGGCAGCAGTAGGTTCTCTAGGATGGTTCGTTTCATTGTCAACTTAACAGGGTAGGGAATCACCCAGGAGACGGACCCTCAGGGTGTGTCTGTGAAACGGTTCCCAGAGATTCACTGAGAAAGGAAGGCCACCTTGAATGTGGGTGGTGCCATCCTGTGGCCTAGGATCTCACTGACTGAAAAGGGAAAAAGGAGGAATTAAGCAGCTTCCTGATTGGGGATGCGGTGAACAACTTCTCACCTGCCACGCCACCACGGCTGCAGCTGCTTTTGCCACTGTGCCTTCCCTGCCACGGTGAACTGTACCTTCAACCGCGAGCCAGAATAAACCTTAAGTTGCTTTCATCAAGTAATTCTGTCATGGCAAGAAGAATCCCACCCAGGCAGGAGAGCCAGGATCTGTCACAAGGCAGAACTGGGTATCTTTGCCCAAGTGAGCGTTTGTACACAGGCAGGCAGTACCTTCTGACTGTCCAGGAGAGACATGCTGAATTACCAAAATAAAGGTAATTGTGTGTATGTGTGTGTGTTTGTGTGTGGTATGTGCATGTGCATGTGAATGTCGTCGCCCACGGAGGGCCAGGGGAGGGTGTTGGATCCCCTGGAGCTGTAGTAATAGGCGGCTTTGAACTGCTGGGGACCAAACTTGGGGTCCTTTGCAAGAGCAGTATGTCCAAACCATTGCATTTCAGCAGCCCCACAGTTGTGTTTTTTGCTTCCCTTGAAATGCACTCACTTCCCCACTCGGAAACAGTGCTGCAGACCGAAAGCTTAATCTCTCAGTTGCTGTGTTGAGGCCCTCACTCCTCATGACAATGATGTGCAGATGAAACCCTTGGGAGGTGACAGGTCACAGGGGTGAATCTTCCTCAAGGGGATTAGTGTTATTTACTGAAGGGGCCTTGAGAGACGGTAACCCCAGTGTCCACATGAACTCTCTGTGTTGGCTCCTTGGTTTCCAGGACTAAGATGGAAGTATGTTGTCTACCTAAGGCCCGGGTGTGCTTTGGTGGTACAGCGTTTGCTCAGTCTGAACCAACCCCTGGTTCTAGCCAGACAGTGAGGGGCAAGGAATGTGTCCTGGCAACGAGAGATGACTTGCACAGCACGTTGAGTCTCTGCAACCTTACCGCTAAGGGGCGGGGCTCAAGGCCATTTCACTTCACACCAAAAGTGGTCCCTGAAGAAGAGAGTTTAAGGGAGAGCTATGGGGCCTATCTCGTTACCCACAACCTCCGGCTGGCATGTACGTGAAAAATGGGACAAAAGCAAATTTAAGTTGTTTTTCTTCTTGTGCCATTCGGCCTGGATTCTAGGTAGTGTCTCCGACCTGCTTAGGCTGGCATCCTGCCCACTTTGTGTTTTGAACTCACTGTGTGGCTCAGGACAACTTGATTTTCTTGTCACTTCCTTCCAAGTGCTGGGATTACAATGTCCACTGCTCAGCTCACTCATGCCCGACATTCTTGTCTACGGAAACAAGTGTTTGGTCTGGGGCTGGGGACAGGCGTGGTTTGAAAGCCTGAGATAACCAGAAATATCTGTATTTTTCCTTTGAAAAGTGGCTCCAATGAGTTGCCACTCAGCAGGCGAAGGTGAAGGATAAGGAGTTCATGTCCAGCCTCTCCTGTACAGTGAATTCAAGGTCAACCTGGACTACAAGTGACCCTGTCTCAAAAAACAAACAGGGTTTCATATAAACCGTAGGAACTCGTGAAGGGGGCCATGGTACAGTGTGGTGGCTGGTGAAGACTCATCTGATGTGTAAGGCCTGGGTACAATGCCTAGTGTAACCCTTTAAAAAAGTCAAACCTCCCCAAACTATGTTGCCAGATGAAAAGGCTGACGTGTTAGGGTTCTCTTAGAGGGGGAGCCGAGAGATAGGTATAGACAGATGAGAGAGAAGCATGAGTTTTCTGGCCAGGCAGGTCCCGTGGCCCCTGAGCCCCAAATGAATAAGCAGACGTTATATTGGCTATAAAGCTGTTGGCCGATGACTACAGCTTCTTATTGGCTAGCTCTGTCTTAGTGGCTAGATGGCGTCTACCGAGACCTCTTCTCACCTGGTTTAGTGAGACTCACACCAGTCTTTGAAAACGTGCTCACAGGTAACTCGAACATTATGTTCTTCTAGCTGCAACCCCGAAGCCATAACCTGAGAAAGTAAAACTACGGAGACAGCCCAGAGCTGGGGAGAGCCAGGGGGAATGGGTGTGTGTGGGGGGGTTTGGCGGTGGAGCCTGACATTATAGTGGCACATCTGCCCTAGAACAATCAAGCGGAATGAGGGTGTGTCAACGGGGGGATCTTCAGTTGTGAGGACGGACTCATTTCATGGGGATGGTGACAGTGGCCTGTATGTGGGACACTTGGGTCTTCTGTTTTGTGTTGTGAGCCTAAATGAAGTCTAGGAAGGGACTCTTAGGAAAACGGGGGTGGGGTGGGGTGGGGTGGGGTGGGGGAAACCCTTTGCTTTTCGCCAAACACCTACTTCAAACACAGTAACAATAAGGGCATTTTCATCAAAGTCTTTAATAGATGTGCAAGAATGCGAGCGACCTTGGCCATGGAGGGCGAGAACATCATCCACAGAAGGAACGCCGGCCGGCGATGGGCTCCACTGACCAATTGTACAAAAACCACATGGCTATGGTTACCGCTTTACAGTCAATGAAAAGTCACCAGTGTTCGTGAACCATTTTCAAAAGACACACTATCTTGCCCGGAGCCGTTTGCGTTTGCAAACGTTAGGGTATTTTCCCACCCCCACCCCCCGAAAGTCACAGTTTAATACATCCTTCACTTTCTTTAATTTATAAAACAAATTACTGTATATAAAAATCTCCCCCCTTTCTGGTGGGCACAATGTTATTCACACATTTGTACATGAGCAGCCGAACCAGCAACCAGCAAGTCATTTGGCAATAGGGCAGTATCCAAATAAACATCCCCCATGTCTAACAAACCAAGGGCCCCTGTGCTGTTCTGGGCGAAGGAGCCGCCGCCGCCCCTGGGCAGCACACTGGGAGGAAAGGAGCTTGCAGGAGCCCGATTGCTCGTGGATCATTTGTGGGCTCTTTCATCTCAGCAAGCTTGGCTCATAGGCAGGTGTGACTGCACGGCCCTCGGACTGGGGCTCCAGTCACCTGAACGTCCCCCAGGCTGGGATTGGACACCCCTGGGTGGCCCAGAAAATTGACTCTTAGGCTGTTTGCATCTTTTTTTTTTTTTGACCAGTCACTGAGGACAAGTCTTACTGGTGGACACTGGGATTGCTGGTTGAAATGCGTCCATGTTCGATATGTGTCACAGAGCTGCCCAGAGGCCTAGACTTGGGGTATGATGTCAGAAACCTGGGTTGCCTGTCCTGTCCCAGCACCATGGACCTGGGCGTGGCTCTGATGTGTTCAGTGGCCTGAGAAACCTGAGTGTATTGGGGTGAGGGCTGTGGGCGGCCACAGGGCCGCTCTGCAACGGCGCCTCTAAAAAGTTCCGTTTTCTCTGACTTCAGACAGGGTCACCAGCCCCCAAGGCATGAAGCAGCTGTGACAGGAGGGCTGGACTCCACCCTGCCTCACATGGAGACTCAAGGTCTATATTCTGGCAGGGTTGGGGCTGTGTAGCATTGTTTGCTACGTGGGCCAGCCTGGCTTGGGTAGACCTGGGGTGTGCTCAGTCACCGCCGCGAAGCTTCTTTATTTCCTGTCTACTACCAAGGTACTTAAATAATAATGTCTCCTGCCGCACCTTGACCTGCTGAGGACTTAGCTAACCTCTTTCCAGAAAGCCCTGGGTTGGTCTCCCGAACTGCCTCTAATCTAGGGAGGAGGAGGAAGAGGAGGAGGAGCATGGCTGAGCACAACAGTTAGGGAAGCAGACACGCTTCCTCAGGGAGAGTGAGGGATTATGGGTATTCTGTCGATTTTAAGGCTAGGGTCCATCACACACGGTGTCTTTAAATTTTCTGATCTGGAGTATTAGTGATAAAAATATTTTTCCAAAAATCTAATGTATAACACAAGACATCTTTGGAGGCACTGGCTAGTGTTTTCAGAAATATATTTTGTGCGGATTTAGTTTTCAATTGTTTTCCCTTTTTATTTCATTTAACCTATTTATTTGGTTTACTGGTGCTTTGGTGAACAATGGTTTAGAATCTCTATGATCCAGTTTCCCCCAATCGAGAGTCCAAAGGGCTGGTGGGAACAGTGCCACCAACCTGGCCAGGATGTCACTTCAGCCTCGGATTATCACAGGCTAGCTGCACTAAGGTATGAAAATACTTGTTAAATATTAACAACAGAACTTACCGGGGTTTAGAAAAAAACGTTCCGAATCTGTAACAATTCTTGTTGCGTTGCATCCCTGCAGGCACTTGGGTGCCCGTCCCCTGCCTACGTTCTGCCTGCCCGGAGAACGCAGCTCCTCCTCATGTGGGGGCTGCGTTGGGGATGGCAGGCGGGTGCCACTCAGAAAAAAAGGCATCAGAGGAAGCTTCGACATCATCGGTACATTTTATTCCTCAGGGCATTTACACGCTAGCTTTCCTGGAGCGGGTCTCAGTGCGTTGAGTTCTGACTCTGTGGAAAATGTGCACCTTCAAAACGACGTGACTGTCTTGCCCTCTGGTAGGGCTGCCATGGGCACAGGAAGCAATTTCTCCAGCACAAGGCCTGGACACAAGAGACTGCTCTGTCCAGGAGTGCCTGTTGGATGTCCCTCTTCTGCGGGTCTCGGTGGCCAGCAATCCCTCCCTGGCTGCTCGGAGCCTCGTGCCCAGCCTGGCATGCATATGCTGTGGTTAAGGGTAAAGTGACAGGGTCATTCACAGGCGTGTCCACGACAGAGACGCTCATGGCCTCACACGGACTCCTCAGCAGAGAGCAGAAGCGGGTTGATGTACTCAAAACCCTCAAACTCAGACTGGTCGATCCTCTTTATGACGTCCCTAGAAGCACAGGAAAGGGTGGTGGGGGTGGTGAATAGAGCGCAGCTGTGTCCCTCCCTCAGGCACCATCCTCCCCACCAGCCTACACTGCAGAAGGAGGGACCCCAGGCATGAGGCCCATGCACACTGGTCTGGACATTAGGCTGCCTGTGGAGCTGGGCTACTCGGGACGTTCCACTGTGACGTGACTTTGTGTGTGTGGGGGCATGCCAGGATGTCTTGAGCCTTGCAGTGCCCTGTCCGGGACTTACTCGTCATCTGGAGTGAGCTGCACGGGCTCGCTGGTGAACTGCGTATCAAAGTTGTCCAGGCCGTAGTCGTCTGTGATCTGGGGCTGGAAGGGAGGCAGGGCCTGCTTCTTTTCCAGCTGAGAATATTGACAAGGGAGTGTCAAGAAGGGTGTCGGGTATCCCCTCTGCCCCGTCCCCTTCAGTTCTTTGTATGCACACAGATCACAAAATAAAATGGGTAGGCTCAGCCTTTTTCAACATGCCCGGGATTGGATGCCAAATGTTTTGTTGTTGTTGTTGTTGTTGGTTTTTTTGTTTTTTGGTTTTTTGAGACAGGGTTT